TCAAAATCTCTCTCGACTGACTTGTGCTCCATCAAGTGCGCGGTGGAAAGACCATTCTAATCGGCTATTTAGGTTTTATTTTTCCTTTTGTTTTCGCTCTTTTGTAGTAGCTCTTAAAAAGGCTAAACCCAGTTCTGATGTTCGTTTTCTTGTTCAAGAGTAGTGTTGGTTGATGTATTCCACGAGTACACGAGTGTAGACTAGAAGAGTGAATGTGAGAGACTGGCAATCACGTTCTTGCTTGGATGGGATTGAAATACTGACGGAGAATTCTTTGGTGCGTTCGATGGAGATTTCCAAAAAAGTTGGATAGGTTACGGTCGATCCGTCGATGCGGCAGTCGTGCGACAACACAGGAATCAGACTGGTAAATGTTTGTCTTTTCCGTTTAGGTACACGAGCGGCACAAGTGACACAACCACGACCAACTAGTAAGTCAAATATGAATCTTTCTAGCTGATACAGTCTTCTATCTTGACGTTCGTTCTGTTGTTCGAGAGAAGTGTTAGTTTGTTTATTCCACGATCACACGAGTGTAGAGTAGGAGAGTGAGTGTGAGGGACCAGCAATGACTGTTTTTGCCGAATGAGATACAAATACTGACGGAGAATTTTTTGGTGCGTTCGATGGAGATTTCCAAAAAAGTTGGATAGGTTACGGTCGATCCGTCGATGCGGCAGTCGGGCGACAACACAGGAATCAGACTGCCAAATATTGTTGTCTTTTCCGTTTAGCTACACGAGCGGGACAAGTGACACAAGCACGACCAACTAGTAAGTCAAATATGAATCTTTCTAGCTGATACAGTCTTTTCTCTTGACGTTCGTTCTATTGTTCAAGAGGAGAGTAAATTTTCTTTGTGGAACGAGGCCAGGGGTATAGAGTATAAGAGTGAATGTGAATTACCAGCCCGAAAACTGGTTTCCTCGATTGAGCCGAGAAGACTGTCGCCAGATATTTTGCGTATCTATTTCACATGCGCGTTCAAACTCCCCAATATTGTTTTTGCCCGATTAGATTCGAATAATGCCTTAGGAATGCGTAGTGCGTTCGACGGAGATTTCCAAAGAAGTTGGATCGGTTTAGGTCGATGAGCCGATGCGGTAGTCGTCCGAAAAAGCCTGGAAGAGACTCGTAAATTATTTGCCTTTTGTGTTTAGCGGTACAACCGGCACAAGTGACACAACCATCACCAAGTAGTAAGTTGAATATGAAGCGTTGTGGCCAACACAGTCTTCTATCTTGACGTTGGTTTTTTTGTTTGGGAGGACTGTAAGTTTGTTTCTGCAACGATCTTCAAAATCTTTCTCTACTTGTGCTATCAAGTACGCGGCGGAAGTACCATTCTGATCGACTATTTAGGTTTTATTTTTCCTTTTCTTTTGGGTCTTTTGTAGTAGCTCTTAAAAGACTAAAACCAGTTCTGATGTTCGTTTTCTTGTTCAAGGGGAGTGTTAGTTTGTTTATTCCACGAGCACACGAGTGTAAAGTAGGAGAGTGAATGTGAGAGACCAGCAATCATTTTCTTGCCCAATGAGATTCAAATAATGACGGAGTAGTTTTTGGTGCGTTCGAAGGAGATTTCCAAAAAAGTTGGATAGCATGACTTTCAGTCTTGAAAATACTTTATTCGAGCTTTCGCCAGCTTTCAGTTGGCATCATCAGGAATGAAATAGACATTCGAACAAACGATGGTATAAAAAGAAGCGAATAGATAAGAACAGAAAAAGAGAAATAACTCAAGGAGAACCTATAGTTGGCATAGCTGCACGTTTTTTTTTTTAAACTCGTCAGTTCGCTACGAACTTTTTTCGGTCGCGAAACTACCCTAATGGGGTTAGGCGAACACCTGCAATATGTGATCTGTGTCATTTATTGCTTTTCCTAACTTCTCCTGTGTTAGAATACTCTCTTTTATGGTTCTGCGTTTCCAGTCTTGTTCCCAGGCTAATGTCTCAACCTTAGAGAAATCGAATTCATGATGGTACTTCTCTACATGTTCAACTAACTTGGAGTTTGCTTTCATCCGTCCAATGTTCGATTTATGTTCTTGCATTCGTTTATCTCGTTTTCGATCGGTTTGACCGATGTAAACATGTTCACAGTTAGAACATGGGATCAAGTATACTAATTTCTTCTCTTTCGAAAGCTCGAATAAAGTATTTTCAAGACTGAAAGTCATGTTATTCATAGCAGTTCTATATTCGATTTACAAATATTTATTTCCAACTGCTCTACCAACAAATTTCAAAGTTGTATAGGTTGCGGTCGATCCGTCGATGCGGCAGTCGTGCGACAACACAGGAATCAGACTGGTAAATATTTGTCTTTTCCGTTTAGGTACACGAGCGGCACAAGTGACACAACCACGACCAACTAGTAAGACAAATATGAATCTTTCTAGCTGATACAGTCTTCTATCTTGACGTTCGTTCTGTTGTTCGAGAGAAGTGTTAGTTTGTTTATTCCACGATCACACGAGTGTAGAGTAGGAGAGTGAGTGTGAGGGACCAGCAATGACTGTTTTTGCCGAATGAGATACAAATAATGACTCAGAACTGTTTGGTGCGTTTGATAGAGATTGCAGAAAACGTCGGATCGGTGACGGACGATCCGCCAATGCGCGGTAGTCGTGCGAAAAAACTGCAGTTAGACCGGTAAATTATCTGCCTTTTCCGTTTAGCTACACAACCGGCGCAAGTGACACAACCGGCACAAATAACACTACCATCACCACTATGGGTGTCTACTGGAAGCATGACAACTCCACGTCAATTACCGACTTTAACCCTTCTCAAGTCCAGCAAAGTTATTGTCACTGGTGGTTACACTGGTGGTTCTAACAACGGATTCACTGCTACTTGTGAAATATTTGATCAATCAACGGGCCAATGGAGCCCTACTGCAAGCATGGCCACAGCACGTTATTATCATAGAGCAACGCTGCTGGACTCAGGCAGCGTTCTTGTCAGTGGTGGTATAACATTGTCCAGTTATACTGCTAGTTGTGAAATATATGATCCATTAACGAGCCAATGGAGCCCTACCGGAACCATGGCAGCAAATCGCCGATCTCATACTGCAACACTGCTCAATTCGGGCAAAGTTCTTGTCGCTGGTGGTGAAGGGGGCAGCAGTGGTGCTGATACTGCTAGTTGTGAAATATATGATCCATTAACAGGCCAATGGAGCCCTACTGGAGCCATGACCACAGTACGTCATTATCATACTGCAACCCTGCTCAGTTCGGGCAAAGTTCTTGTCACTGGTGGTCAAGATGAGGTTAATGCTCAAAATACGGTTAATACTTTTGCTAGTTGTGAAATATATGATCCATTAACAGGTCAATGGAGCCCTACTGGAAGCATGACTACAGCACGTGTTTTCCATACTGCAACTCTGCTTCAATCGGGCAAAGTTATTGTCACTGGTGGTGGACCATTGTCTCCTGTCAACAGTGGACTACCGTCTGTTGCTACTGCTAGTTGTGAAATATATGATCCGTTAACAGGTCAATGGAGTCCTACTGCAAGCATGGCTACAACACGTGCTCAACATACTGCAACCCTGTTCAATTCGGGCAAAGTTATTGTCGCTGGTGGTAGAATAACTAGCTCTAATTTGGTTGGTAGTTCTGAAATATATGATCCGTTAACAGGTCAATGGAGTCCTACGGCAAGCATGATCACACCACGTTGGAATTATGCTGCAACCCTGCTCAATACGGGCGATGTTCTTGCAGCTGGTGGTCAAGCTGCGTCTGGTGTTACTGCTACTTGTGAAATATACTATCCATGAACTTTCTATTGTTTATTGTCATATAGACGCTAGTGAGAGTGTTTGACAATTGATAATAAATCTATTTATTCATTTTGGATGCTCGAACACAGCGGACCAAAAAGCTTCATATCCCTCCTTCTGTGCTTATTCGTTATTGTACATCTACGAGCAGAAAAGACGTGAAGTTCAATTTTTCTCTTTTTTCATATATATCATTCATATATTATTTTTGTCATCATTTAGATCAGATGACTATATAAGAACATGTTTGTCCTTTCTATTCAGTTGGTGTAGAAGTGTAGTAGAGTTAACATCAATTTATGTTGTGTTAGTCTGTGTCTGTATTTTTTTTCTTCATTTTATTATAAATTGTTAAAACATATCCATGCATGAGGAGTGTAGTCAAGGGAAGAACATTTAAAAGAGGGGCCGTCAGAAAACCAACCTGCTACGCCAAGATCGGTCGGAGACGAAATTTTATTTATTTATTGATGAAACAAATAGTTATAACTAAGACAGGTCAAAAGAGAGCAGAGCCCCGTTATTATCGTGCTGTCTAGCCAATAAAAAATGAAAAAGGTAAGAAGGAAAGTAACAGAGAAAGAATGCAAATAAATAATAAAAATACATAATAAAAAACGGAAAGAAAAAAGGCATAAAGGGAACAAAAAAAATGGCAGAAGAAAGGAATGAGAGGATCGAGTGTGCTAAGAGATACAGACCAAATTTTACATTTAAACCTTTTAGTTGAAAGGATATATATATTCAATAACACTTCGGTACACTATCAAATACTGTTCCTTTCAGAAATGAATTTTAAGTAAGAGCAATTTACTACTTAGGGGTTGCGGCAAGTCCAAAGTTGAGCGTTTCTGTTCAAGATGATTTCGTTGCGATCGGTGCAACACACAATGTAGCAGATCATGATCAACACTTTCAATATCATCGCAGGTACAAAGGTTAGTGGAACTCAGTTTTTTAGTATATAAGTTTGCAGTTAGTGGTGGAAAGTCCACATGCAAACGGTTGAAGGAGATATCTGCTGTTCGATCAATACCGTACGTTCGATAACGAAATATGTTAGTGTTGTAACAGATTTTTAGTTCAGTCTCGATTTTTTGGATCGATTTTTTTAATATGTGCGCGCAAATATTCGGACGTATCGTCCGATAATACGTCTCTGAAAAGAATAAGTTTATTCATGTCAAACATTATTTTCTAAGCAGGCTAGCTTAGTATATCTAAAACATTTTCTCTACTTGATAAGTACATCGATCCAGAAACAAGCAGAGCTGTACGGTATTGAAGCTGGAAAAGCGGTTTCAATACTAGTTCTGGTTCACCTGAATAGATTACACTGGCATATATCAATAATGAATGTATAAACGATTTATATAATTGATCTAGAACCGACATTAAAAAGATGCATTTAAATTTGTTTACAGCTCGTACAATTAAGTTACATTTTTTGACGATAAAAGAAAAATGAGGAGAACCACAAGCCTAAGTGCTTATATTCCTTTCCTTTTTCACACCTTTCCTCTCAAGTTTATACAGAAGACCACCATGCCAAACCTTATCAAAGGCCTCCTTGAAATCAAGAAAAACAACCTCAACGTCCTTAGACGATGCGCGATCCTCATAGCTTGAATGTACTAATTCTACTAGTTGATGAACTATTGAACGTTTTTACCGGAATCCATTTTGAAAAACAGAGAACAGTTTGTTTTCAGATAAGTATTGATAAAGCCTTTTATAAACCACTCTTTCTAAAACCTTGGACAAAGCTGGTGACAATGTTATCGGACGATAATTATCAGGGATAATGTGCTCACCGCTTTTGAACAGGGAACTGACATAACCTGTTTTAAACGAATCAGGAAACACACCACTTGCTAAAGAAGTACGACAGATGTGTGCAACATCCTCTGAAATTATTAAAGCTGATTCACGCAATAAGCCGTTGTTTACTCCAGGTGCACATGCCTTATTAAGGTCCAGCTTACTAAGAATTTATTCAATCTCTGGTGAAGAAACATGAAAAATATCTAACTTTGTATTTGCAAAAGGAAGAGAGTCGACTGGGATATCAGCA